AAAAAGTTTATTTTTTCATAGTGCGGAATTGAAGGGAATCTTTGTTTTTGTATCCGTTTCAGCTGTTGTGCAATTGAAAAGGCTTCCTCTTTGTCTAAACGGATAAAAGGATTGTCAGCTACATAAGGTTACAGCCAAGATAGTCATTACGATCAAGTCAATACGAAATAGAAACACTCCAAACGTTGGCGCAATAATTAGTGAGATATGATCATATAACGATGATAGTGATCACGAAGATGGTGACGATGAGACTTTTAACGGCAACAATAACGTAAACAAAACTCTTAACAAAAAACACCTGGGAAAGGAAACCTCAAAGGGTTTGATATAAAAATACAAAAGGCCAAGGAAAAGGAACGCGGACGATCAAAGTTCCCCTATCTAACTGAAGACATCAGAAGACATAAATAGTTTTCAGGGCAGCTAAAACACTTCTGACGTATTTGGTCGTTGGGTGCCCCTTATCAATTACGTCAGTAAAAAGCGAAAATTATTTCTTAAAAACCTGCAACAAATTGAAGGTTTTTTTGGGGTGGCATTAGGCCATTTGCACGACAGCATAATTTTACTACTACGACTAGAGTCGTTCAGGGTACTGCTTTCTCGTGCAAAAAAGGGCCTTTGTATTTAAACCTTACTGAGATTACCAAATTCAAATATGAAAAGAACAGCGAAAAGGATTCTGGTTGTAGTAATACAATATATAATGAAACCATCGCGCAAATGGCCATTATCCTCCTTATTTATTGTTAACAAAGTATTAACTTCACTGTTTTTTCTTTTCTTTCCTTGTAGTTGCAGGAGTTCACAGTCGCCAGAAACGCAACCTCAAAAATGTAAAGAACAACTTCAGTGTAACTGTCAGTCATAATAATCGTGATGGCATCAAAAGGGAAGTCCAGCTGGGTAATAAGGGTATTAGGGGGAGACATGGCAGACCTGGTTCCCCAGGTAAGCATGGTCCACCCGGACCACGCGGGCCCCAAGGACCTAAAGGAAACAAAGGTGCACAAGGAGATCAGGGACCATCTGGGCCTAAAGGCGAAGAGGGCCCTCATGGACCCAAGGGAGATCCCGGTGAATCCATCTCAGCTCCTTCTATTTTGTCACCTCCAGTGTCTACGGTGGTAAACGAAACTGGTATAGCCTCGTTGCAGTGCGAGGTTAAAGGAAATCCAACACCTCAGGTCACGTGGATGAAACAAAATTCCAGTCTTCCTTTCGACAAACGAATTATACAATCACGTGGTGGACTGATGATTCGAGATGTGACGTCACAAGACGGAGGTGTGTACACATGTAAGGCGAGAAATATTCTTGGACTCATGACTTCATCGGCCACTTTAACTGTTCAAGGTAATTTACTTCCCAATTTTAATGTCCCAGTAGTCTTAATTCACTGTCATACAACTAAACAACTAAAATAATGTTACAGTACTAGCAATAAAGTATATTGCACCTAAGCTTCGAAAGAGCTTCGGGTCGAT